TCCGTACTTGTGTCTACCTACAGGAAACGGGGTCTACATACCGGAGCGAAAAAGACGAGCACGCGTATCGTACTGGGCGAGTAGCAGGCACAGGGAGAAGTACGAAAGGGGTGCGTATTTGGGTGAGCTGTAGAGCCTTCGCAGTCTGGACGAGGGAAGTTCAGGTAGATGGGGGCTGCTAGATAGATGGTCTTGGTCAGATAGTTGCAAGGGCAGAAGGAGATGGGGCATGGATGGTGTTGGTCGAGCTTGGGCATAAGCAAAGGGGACGGGAGAGTGTAGTCCGTGATACGCGTCTCCGGGCACGTTTGGTGATAGGCAGAACAAGTGATTATGGTTGGATTGAGGATTGCGTTTACAAAGCGGGACTGCAGAGCGGGATAGGTGGATACGTAGTTGCGACGAAACATTTCAGGAAATAAATGTTGAGTTGATGATGGATAGTGACGGAATAAAAAGAAGGCAAGAGGCAGATATAGAGGGGGATGGGGAAGAATAGAGGGACATGTAGACGGCGCCACGCGATCGAGCGTGCGCCGGGGAAAGACGTTTGCATGGGCGGGAACAACGACCGAGTCACAGCAGGCTTTCACTGTAGATCCGAGTATGAGTCACGCATTCCACAAAAAACACGAACCCCCACATCGTCATAAAGCAGACGACGGTTCGAAAGCGAACATAGGGGGCGGAGGGAAATAGGAAACAAGACACACCGTTCGGCTCTCTTGGAAACACTTATAAAACTCCAGCGCCGCCCTCCATAATTTGGGCGCGCGCGTTCTTCTCCGTTCACCGTTCTCTCTACTCGTCTGATCGCGGGGCCGTCCGTCGTCCGGACCCCGGGAAAAGGAAAGAAATTTCTTGTCGTCCCTGCCCACTCCGCAGCTGCAGGCGACTCTCGACCGAAAGCGTGAGTTGATAGAAGTATATCGACCTGGTACTGGTGCTCGCCCCCGGGACGAGCGGCGCCGCACGACTACCGCCCCAGCACAGGCGGCGCGCTCGCGGCGCGGACCAGCGCCGGCTGCCGCGCCTTGAGCTCGATCTTGAGCGCCTGCGCCTGGCGCTCGACGTCGGGCTGCAAGCTGCCTTGACGCGCGGCGGGCGCGACGATGAACTGCCGGTGGTCGTGGGCCCTGGGGAGCTCGGAAACGCGACGACGCTTCGCGGCGCGGTCGCCCGACTGTGAGAGGGGATGATCAGCATAGGCCCGGGCGCGTGAGAGTGAGGACGGGGCACCTCGGGCGGGGGAGTGGGCAGCGGGCGGCGGCCGTGGAGGTCGACCTGCATGACGCCGATGCGCCATCGCTCGACGTCGACCGGGTCCACCGGGCCGGGGTACGTGTACGTCGTGTACCCGTTGTCGTACTGGTAGCTGTCCTCGGCCTGGCCGGGCTGGACGTAGTCCATGGCGTCGAAGGAGCCGATGGCGCTGCCCTGGCTGAACGAGTCGAGGTCCTTGAGCATGGGCGCCGGCGGGAGCGGGGGGATGCGGGTCGTCGCCAGCGCCTCGTCGTCTTCGTTGTAGACGCTCATGTGATCATCGTCGGCGAGGGCGCTGCGAGGGGGCCTAGGATAGCATGTCAGTACTGTGGGAAAGTATTCCAGGGGGAGCGGTGCACGCACCCGGGGAGGGGAATGGAGCGCGGGGGGAACGGCGCGGGGACTGGGAGGTCGAGGTCCGAGAGTGCGCGTGGGCTGAGCATCGCGGGGGTCGAGCAGGTGCGAAAGTGGTAAAGGCGAATATTTGAAACAGGCGAGCGATGTGGAATTAAAAGCGCGAGTGTCAGGTGGGCGGGGTGAGCACTCTCCGGGGGGTGGGCCGGGGCATGGGCGGTGCGACGAGCGCGAGAGACGGGGAGGGCGAGGGTGGGGGCACCAGTCCAAGGGTCAAGCTGTCTGCCCGCGCCGCGCGAACCAGAGACTTATACATTCCGCTAAGCGCCCATATCCTCCCCACGATCAACCAGTCCCCGCTTTGCCTGCACTTCCGGGCCCACTTCGCCCGCGCTTTCCGGCCAAAAGTCCCAGGCGCTTGAGCTGGCTGCGCCAGATCTCAACGCGGGCCACCACGAAGCCCACTGCGCAACCTGTTGACGACGTCAAGAGGGAGCAGTCGTACGCAGCGCTGCGGGCAGCTCTAAGACCTATTGGCGTGCTTTCCGTCGGATCCGGGGGGATACGCGTACGGCGCTTGGCTGGCACAGAGCCAATCGCTCGGCAGAAGCTCAGATGCCAGATCTCATCGAGCGAGCGTCTCCTCGTCACGCCCCTAGGACGAGGCATGTGCGGTCGCATAAGCAAGATCCTCGGGTCATCTCGTGCGATTGTGTTCGTGGTCATGGACCCGCCGGACTGGCTTGGCCACTACAGTCCTCGAGGCTCGGAGCCGTACCCAATTCGCCGGCGGCATGCGGCCGCGGCAGGGAGCGCTACCGCGTTGCCGCACGTACTTGGCTTTGGCTGGGGTGTTGCCTTGCCTCCAGCGCGGATAGTCAGTATTGTCTTGGGCATGGAGTCCGGCTTTGGACCGTACATACGAGCCTCAAGGCCGGGAAGGCGAGCGATGCGCAATATACACCCCGGTATTGTTAGTTGGCCGTTCAAGGTCATGGCTGGGCTCCCAGCGTCCAGGGCGATTCCTGAGCCATATCCCTGTGCTCATGTCCAACCTCGTACGTCTTGAGCGTGAACTCGAGCTGAATGCTCGTACTGGTGATTGCGGAGTCCTCACGCTGTCTCGCTAAGTTTAGGTGTATAGCGCGGTTAACACCGAGCGGTCTCCGACCTGGTCTGAGGTTTCAAGTTGGCATTGTGCCCTCGGCCAGAGTTCGGACCCATCGTCCAAACCTCTGAGTGTCTGATTCCCATTGACGAGTGGTATGGTGCATCTTGACGATGCAGGAACCTTGATTGATCTGGGTTATAGAGCGCTCGACGAGTGTCGCTGTGCCGTTCTTGTCTCCGCGCCTATCAGCTTATGATCCTGGCTCGACTGAAATAATACAATGAGTGAGTGTATAGGAGCTTCACCTGTAGTGCTCTGGCTAATGAAGTCCTAGTCAAGTATGCGACATAGATCCGGACGCCGGATCCTCCCAAACAACATCGCGTCCAGCGCTACACCGGTGTCCTGGAGTTCTGACATACCTCCTTGACATTCAAGCTATACGCGCTCAGCGGTCCCGGCTCGACCTATTCAAGGCATCTTGGCGGGACAAACATTGCTGGTCTTGGGCGTCACCCACTGCGTAGAACTAGTCTGCCGCGATGCCGCCCTCTCGTCCCTCGCTTGGCTCGAGTAACAAGTCTGGTGAGCATATGCATCATGTTGTACTTCGGACCTTCGGCTGACCTATATGGAGTATTCCCAGCAAATACCAAGCCAATGGTTCCCGCGGCACCTCGGCAGCGAATATACCTCACCTATAGAATGGCATGCGCCATATGCTTCGCGGAATATAGTGAGGTCGAGATATATGTCTGGGCGTGCGGCTTTTCGGCTGATGCGTGTGCGTGTTGTTCTAAAAGGATGTTTGTTGGGTGTTGTGGGGTCTGGTGGTTGGTGTGTCGCATTGAGCTGCCTGGTGTCACAATTGGGAAAGCCATCGGGTATGGTGAGTACATGACACTCTGGTCTTTTATGGTCTGAAGACTTACCTACGAGGAAGATAGAATAGACACTCGTCTACCCAGATGAACGTCGGAACCAACTCCTGTCTCCTTGCCATGAGTGCGAGTGGTTGTGGTTGTGTTTATGTATAAATGGCAGCATGCTCACGAACACTCTAATGCTCATCGCCATCCTCTGAAGCTTTTTCCTTGATGCGCAATCGCCTCCGTTCTGCAAGACATTCGCGCAAAGTCAGGGCTGGACTGCTCTACTGCAAGATGCTCGTAACACGGCTGGGACTCAGTACGCCGGCCCTGGTCCACGCCCTAGGGTACGGCAAGTCCCGATGGACCCACAGAACCCCAACGAATCTCGTAGGCCGCCATAGACGGGTCTCTCGTGTTGGGCCTTCCAGCCAGGCGGTTACACTCTGCTTACCACGCTGTTCGAGTACTCGGCATATCCCGACTTGCCCGTCAGAATACGGGGTGCTCCTCGTTATCACCCCTTCCTCCATCCGGCGGAGACGCGGGTTCTCAAGAAGACCGCCTCACCTTCGAGATACTCAGCGTCTGGCTGACCTGTGGGGCGCAGTCAAGACTGTACCTGGCCAGACAGATAGGAAATGGATGGTGGGTCATAGCTCTGTTCTGCGTCTAAGATGGTGCAAGTCCTGATGGACCTGCAGGACCGCCGTGAAGCTCGCAGACCGCTGTAGTCGGGTCTCTCGTGTTGGTAGGCCAACCAAACAGTCGGTTACGCCCTACCGATTGCGCTTTTCTGAACGTCCGGCGTCGCCCGCCGCCCTCTTCAGAAACGAGGGTGCTTTCCGATATCATGACCTCCCCCATCCAGTGAGTTTGAAGTTGACCCGCACGTCCCATACGGTCCCCTAACTCTCTCTTGCCGAGAAGCCGTATACAGATCATGCCGTTACACCCAGCAACGACTCGAACGGCATCCCCCGACGGAGAGAGCAAGAGATAACCTGTCAACCTCCTGATCGTATACGCGACCTGGCGTTCACGATACAATTCGGTTTCATCGATGCCAGAATAGGAGTCGTGGACCGGGCGTACGGAAGCGCCACTGGGGCCCACGCGTATGCGGGCGCAATTCCGAACGCGTTAGCATTCAGTACTAGCGGTTGCCCACTGCGAGTGCTGTGTACTGAATTGCATCCTGTAGGCGGCCGCGCCCGTGTCCCGGATCCGGGGTGTCCATCATGTCCTCCCGCTTCACGCTTCTTCGGGACATCGCCGAGATGATAGCGCATTCGTATGCTGGCCCTCTACTCGGGCGCGCTCATACCGATTTGGGGCGAGCAGTATGTCCAGAAGATGATCGCGCTCTGTGCAGTGCCCCGCGTAGCTCGCCGGTAATCAGCTTTGCCGTGGTATAAACGGCTTCTAGACTCTGGAGACTCATACCACGCCCAACCGTTTCAACGCGACTTCTATGAATGTATGCGCCATCTCAATCGATAGCAGAACACGCTCAGGGGCGAACCGTACAACGGGGCATACTCACCGCCCACAAACATACGCGTACCTGCGCATTCGCCCCTTGGGGCCCCACAGACGCGCGCTGCACCGAGGTGCGCCCCGGAGGCCGCCGCGCTCTTCGCTGCAGCATCTACCCGGGTATACCATACGCCCCAAACGGGTACCACGCCGTACTAGATTGCATCTCGCAGGCCGCCGCGCCTGTGCCCGACGAACCGGCAAGTTCAGAGTTTGCGGAGTGGAGCTGCGAGCACGCGGACACAATAGCGCGGGCGTCTCTGTATGCGCGCGCGCGACCCTTCGAGCTCGAAGCCCCTATGTAAACGCCTCTGTATGCTGACAAGATAAGAGCGTATGCGGTTTGTAAGCTCTTTGCACGGCCGACTGCACCCGTGCCGTGCCCGTCGGTGGTAGGTGTAAGTTGAAGTTATGATATGGGATGCAGATGCGGAGTGGTACGCCACGACGGCGGATCGCGCGTCGAGTCGCACTCTGAGAACAATCGCGAGATCGCATCGCTGCACCGCAGAACGAGCGTAGGATGCTGGCGTGAGTACGGACGGCCTGACAAGTATCATGCTCTTTCTGAATAGCAAAGCGGCTTCTGTATTAGGGTAGGGGGTCGAGACCGTTCAAAGCATGATCAGACTTCTTGCTCTGATCATGCGCGCTGGTATCTTCCCTCACTTCTGATCTGAAATCGAGGGAGAGGTGTATGTAGATTCAGCGTCAGGCTATACAGATCGTCTAATAGATCGTGCGGCGCGTGCTCGTAGGGCAAGCGTCATAGAGTTCAATTCGGCCTGTCGTGTCGATGTACGGGTTGCTGTGTGATAAATGCATCTCACATCGTACACTGCGAGGGTTCAGCAGAGACGAAAGGCCTGTAGTATCTGTTTGATCTTGTGGTCACGGTCCGAGCGGGAATGCTGCCTCTTCGAGTACGTCGGGGGATGCGGCGCCACAGCTGCTGGCGGGAGAACGGGCCGTGCGATGAGAGTGGGACATGCGGCGGGAATGTATCCTCTTCGAGACGAGCGTCGGGACGCGGTGATGTTGCGATACATCCTGACGGCCCCGCCTGGGAGTCTTCTCATTGACTTTCCGCCTGTTCTCCATTGCCTGGTCATGACCTTTCACTGCCTATCGACCTTGAAACATGGACACGGTACATTTCCCGACCGTCTCCGTACACGGGCGTCGTAACGATGTTGTGGTTAGGCACGGCCACCGCCTCGAAGAGGGGTCGATACGGCACGCCGATGAGCGTCGGAGGGACCCACTCATCAGCCTGCCACCAGCAACTAGAACGGGAAGAATCGACCTGAGTTCGCCGACGACGACTGGTTGCAGTCGGCACATCAGATCTCCTGCTCGCGGAGACAGACATCCTCCGGTTCGAGCTTCAAGCTTCAAGCTGAATGGCATCCGTATACGGGCGCGATGACGAGCCATAATCAGCTCGGACAATAGTTCATGCTGCTGCGCAGACAGGCGTACTAGCTCAAATGGGTCACGGAGGATTGATCTGACCTGAAGCGCTGAAGCCTGAAGTGTGTAGGGAGAAGCTGTCGAAGGGCAGAAGCTGCGCGTAATGGAGACCGCGGCGGTGCGTGGCCGTTGTCGTGTTGACGAGAAGCGGAGAATAGTGATGGCTGATCGCATGTGCGCCGCTGCAGGGTCGAGGGAACTGTTGGGCGCAGACGTACACGATTAGCCTTTGCTCCGCCCATTATGGCCACCGATTGCGCCGCTCGGTGTGTGTATGCCGCTGAGCGTGTATGGGTACGTATTGGACCGGAATTCTCATTCCATCAATCCTCTGCGAGTTATCGGCCCAAGGATCACCAAGGAACATAAGCGGTACGGAATATGAAGGGAGACGATGTAGAGCGTGTTAAATCATCTCACAGTGGAGATCTTAGTATGCGCCGGCTACTTGAAAGAAGAGAGGGTCGAGACCGAGAATTCAGCGAGGCAACAAGTCAGAGCCGCCAGTGATTGAGCACGCACAAGGATCCACGTGCACCGTCTGCCCCTCGAGTCCGAGGAAGAGCGAACGCAGGATACGGCATCGCCAAGGTGAAGTTACACCCCTCAGTAGAAGCAGAAGATCAAACAGAAGCAATCGCAGCCACAGAGGCAAACCCCTTGCCCATGCCCGCTGCCCATAAACCAAGATCCCAAAGTGTCAGATCCTCAAACGCCGAACAGCCGCGTCCTCTCAGGTCGCACCATGTTGGGAGTTTCGGCCGCGCACCTGAGCAGATGACCAGCCACAACCCTCAGACCTGGCCGCCTTGATCAAGCACAAGGACATAGGAGCCGCACAGAGCGGGGGAAGATCGTCGGGCGCGCACGGGGACTGCGCCCGTTCGTGTCCGAACCAGCCATACTCGCGCGAATTCCGCCAGAAGTGGCCTCTTGAGGTACTGCGGGTCTGTACGGGGACTTCGGAGTGAGCAGTACGCCGGGCGTCCATGGACATACGACCTACCGCGAGATCCGGCGGGCGTTAGAGCCTCGAAAGATGCCCTTGGGTGCATATGCTCTGCAGCTCATTGGCAGAGTTGGATGGCGGCGGGGAGCCGTTGGGAGCCGTCGCGCGTGCTCTGCGATACATGGCTGTAGAATATACCGGGGCATACAGTAGAATGTACCAATCACAGCACCACTCGCATGAGTCCTGGTCGCTCGTGAGTCGACAAACCGCCGTAAGCGAGAAGGGCGTATGTAGGCGAAGCGGCTCGATACCGATTCGGCGTTATAGAAGCATACAGCACTTCCGCCGTCGGCTGCGTCGCGTACACGCCAATTGACGCAGAGTGGACATTCATCGGATGGATCGGATGTGGTTCGGGTGTCACATCTGTGACCGATGGGGGTACCGCATTATCTGGGAGAAGAGGCGAGCGCTTTGACCAGAGCTATACGAGGACTTTCGCTGCCAATCGAGTCTCGAGATGGAAATGGGTCAACGCCTCGTATGAGGTGCCAGATGTACGTGATCTCGACGAAGTGCGCAGAAGGTGCTGGAGAACTTGGACGGGCCACCGAAGGTGACAGAAGGACACGGGACGCGCTCGCGAGCGTGCGGTCGATTGTTGTTTGCTTTGGGGCAGGTCAATTATCCCTGAGCAGTTCGATTGCGATTGCAATTGCAATCCGCCTCAGGGTCCAGCTCGGCTCGGCATCACTCAGTTGCGTCAAAGAGAGCTTTTGCCCGAGGTTGGGGCAGCTGGAAGGATCGCGAATAATCGGCCGTGCACGCGAGAGACACGCTGAGCCAGCCGTACGGTCGGCACCGGCGCGTTGGCCCGCGGACGTCGGGCGCGGGAACCAGCGCCCCCGACGCGCGCGCGCGCAGAACGGCCAACGTTGCATCTTACCACCATGCCCCAGCCGTTTCGTACCGTGCAGGAGGCTCAAAACCTCCTCGCTCATGTCGCTTGCATGTTTCTGTTATTCGCAGTAGTGGTCCCACAGGTTGCTCTTGGTGCTCCGAATGTACCGATTCCGCTCGGTGAAATGCCGCAGCAAGTACAGGATATAGTCGCTTTTTGCCTTATACAAAGTTTTATGCTGTTTGGGATGTGTACCGAACTCGAAAATACGGAAAGAGGTCGATATAACCGGTTTCCTAAGGACACTATGTTCTTCCCCACAGCCCTGCAGTGGCCCGACGACTGGTTTCGCCACATCTTCCGGTTCGTATACGTATACGGCTGTCCGACCTGTCTGCTTTCGCACTGACTTCATCGTTCTGAACAGTGTCAGCCGCCCGACTTTCGACCGCCTGGTCTATCTTCTCGAGGGAGATCCCGTGTTTCGGCAGACCGGACCGAAGCCGCCGCGTCCAGTTCGTTACCAGCTCGGGACGTTCCTCATCCGCTACGGCATGCTGGGCACCGATGCTCTGCGAACGGCCATGATGATGGGCATTTCCAAAGGCGCTGTATACGATTATTGTCGGCGTGTCACACGAGCCCTTCGGAAGAAGGGCCTGCAATGGACGAAGTGGGGCGATCGTTCAGAGACGAAGCAGTGGGTGGCGAGGAAATTGCGAGGACTGGGGAACTGCGTCGGTATGCTAGATGGGTCTCTGATCCAGCTCACCGAGCCCCCTGCAGGCTCTTTTGGGTCGTTCTTCTGCCGCAAAAAGTTCCCTGCAGTGAGTCGTTATTAGTGGCGATGTGATCCCCTGCAGCAATATTTACTAATTTTTTCAGCTTAATATTCAAGTCATTGTTGACCATCTTCGACGGATAATCGACTTTGATCTTGGGTGGCCAGGATCATTGGTCGACGTGATGCTGTGGAAGAAATCATGGATTTGGGAGCACCGCGATCTATTCTTCGCCCATGGTGAATTCGTATTGGCTGATAAAGGTGCGGCACCATCATGTGTAGCCTGCAGTCAAAAACTTATGCCAATATTGAAAAGGCTATCCGTCTTCGCCCTTTGTACTTCGCCCATTTACGCAGCCCGAGGTCGATGCAGCACCACGTGCACGTGCACGTCGGATGCGCCGTTTCAATTATTTGCTCTCCTCCGCACGAGTCCGAGTTGAGCAAGCTTTTGGGCTGCTCAAAGCTCGTTTCCCGGGGCTCAAGCTCTTTGGTACCCCTACCGACATTGAAGATGCCTATCGTGTCATCGAAGCATTAATCGCTGTTCACAATTTCTGCATCGACATTGGTGACCGGCCGGAAGACATTCCGATGTTCGACATGTCGGACGACTTGGCCGATGCGGGTGTCCACGAGAATCGACAGACATATCTGGACGATAATGGTGCATACGATGGGGAGGATGACAGCGAAGAGGATGAGCAGTTGCGACGGCTTGGTTTGCAATTTCGAGAGGCTGCTTTAGATCATGTTGTTCCCCCTGGTTCTATATAATAATGACGATGGCATTGTCCAAGGACACAATAACGACAGCAATGACAACTATGTGCTATTAGCAGGAGCAGTAGAGTAAGAAAGCAATAACGAGGGATATCTGTGCATATCGGATAGGAAAACGAGTGGACGAATCCGAGCGATCAAGGGTTGGCAATCAACTGGACATTCCGGCCCGCAACATGGCATCCAGAGCTTCAGCGACACGTTTCTTCAACACCTTAATTTCCTCCTCATCTGCGAAGGGATCAGCCTGAAGCTCTCTTAGCTCCTGCTTGAGCAGTGCATGCACGTCTTTAGCACGATTATATGCCGATGTCTTGGCACCCTCCTGCAGATACGAGACCATGCCTTGCATCGTCGCACCCAACTCCGCGGGGAGTCCACGAGCAGATTTGGATGGCGACGACGAAGCTGATGGGTAAGGCACACCTCCCTGTTTCTCGAGAGGTCTGCCGGACACGAGCATCTTTGAAGACGATGCAGCCGACGGTAGTGGGTCATCGTCGAGCTCCTCGTCAAGCTCATCTGTTGGGTCGGGCGTGATGCGACCAGGGTGACGTTCGACCTTACGAGATATTTCACCTGTCTTCTTGTATCTGGCGGAATATCAGTGATGGTGTGATATATGATTGCAATAGATATACCTGGTCCAGAACAAGTCGTACCAGCCGAGCTTCTGCCACTTCTGGACGGTCTCGACACTGAGGCGCCCAGCTGGTTTCTTTCGGCTGCGAAGCTGATCTAGACGTTTTTCGATGGCGGCTTCGTCAATAATCGGCACATCGGGATCGCCACCACCACCAGTGAAAGACATAAACTCGTGCACGAGGCGGAATGTCTTCAGAGCCTTCCTGTACTGTGCTTCCATTGCCGAAGCCGAACGAGAGCCCTTGAAGACGCCGTTTGCGACCTAAGCGGCATCAGTCTTGTCATATATATCGCAAAATAAATGTGAGTTCACCTTCTTAAACGCGTCGCCCCACTTCTTCTGCCGTATGAGTTTCCATACATCGCCAGCATCAATTCCGAGAGCGGCTTCAAAGAGTCGAGTAAGCTCCTTGTCTCCCCAATTCTTGTTCTTCCTGCTGACACCTTCCGCAAACCGGGGGTCGCCGTCATCGCCGTCACTGATGTCGATGTCGTCTGCGATAGAAGAGAGTGACGGCCTCTTCCGACTGGGCGGCCCACCTTGCATGTCGACCGAAGAGCCCGATCCCGTCCGCGCTCGTTTCTTGCCCTTATCGAAGGTGAGTGGGATCTGTTCAGATGATTAATAACCTGGAATACTTGGGTAGACGAGCAGACACAAACATACCACAGGAGTGTTTGGCCGCTCGGCCGCGATGCGTTGACGAGTGGGCGTGAGATGCTCAGGCCCATTGCGCGGCCCGAGAACATCAAGAATTTGCGAACCAGATGCGGGAGGCGCTGACTGGGCCGGAGTCGACTGGACAGGCGCATATGCTGATGGCGTCGTGGGACGCGGATGATCGATGGCGCGAACAAGACTGGAGCCAGCGTGAGCCCCAGGCGGCGACCACGGGTCGATTTCGACAACAGGTCCTTCATAGGGTGAAGTACCAGTAGGAGATCGAGGGGTATCTAGACCTGCCGAATGGTCAAAGCCAGGCTATCCGAATCGTCGTCAGCAGACAAACCGTCCTCGTCTGATGAACAAGACGTACCGTGGCATCTTCGGACTGGCTCAGATAGGAGGGAAACTGAGACCAGAACTCCTCCGTGAACAGGTTCGGAACCTGGCTATAGTCGATGTCGTCGCTGGACGGGGTCAGCTTTGTATTAATTGTCATATATCATTTTATACATACTCGTCCCACTCGAGCATACGTTTGCTGTGCCACCTCGGGAACTATGCTTCTTCGAATAAATAGACAATTGTAGAGAATGTGTGGTAGTTGTATCGATGTGGGTGGAGGCAACGACGCGCGCCCGCAAACGCGACGCGGCCGCCACACATCGCGTGCGGCGAAATTGGATATTTCTCTGCGACGGCTCGGAGTACGAGAGCAGTGCTCAACTTAGTACATAGAAGTAGTACTCTGGTAGATACGAACACATAAATATATTAACATGGAATCGAACGAGTACAATAACGTTGGCCGTTCTGCGCGCGCGCGCGTCGGGGGCGCTGGTTCCCGCGCCCGACGTCCGCGGGCCAACGCGCCGGTGCCGACCGTACGGCTGGCTCAGCGTGTCTCTCGCGTGCACGGCCGATTGTTCGCGATCCTTCCAGCTGCCCCAACCTCGGGCAAAAGCTCTCTCTGACGCAACTGAGTGATGCCGAGCCGAGCTGGACCCTGAGGCGGATTGCAATTGCAATCGCAATCGAACTGCTCAGGGATAATTGACCTGCCCCTTTGCCAGATACATTCGAGGGAGTTCTCCAAGAGTTCTCTGGGGTTCGTTGAGAATACGTTGCAGAGCCGCTAGATGAGAGTAGCGTTACTAGATTGTTCTTTGACTTTCTGGGGGGTTGAACGTTGAACAACCAACGCTGTCACCGTCGACCGCTGTGTCTTGCAACGGTTCGTACGACTACGAAGAGCACGCTCTTCTCAAAGCTATACGCGAACGCAAAGGCTTTCGCCATGAATATGACATGCCAGAGAGTAGTGGTACGAGATTGCACATATCGTCCGACTTGATGAAGGCGCTGGTTCCAGCGTGATACAGCTTCATCCGATCAGTGGCGTCGTTCTGCTTTTTGCACCATGCATCGTCCACATGACGCGAGCCGTACTGACTGACTGAAAGATGCATAAAACATCTCTGCCTGTACGCGTCGATATCGGGCTGCCGGTGGAAGTGAGCCTTCGGCATCCAAGCGGCTTATGTATCCGATAGCTTCGAGCGAACTTGGCATTACGAGGCGCGCGAACATGGAGATCGCCCTGGGCATGCATTGGCAGTGCACTAGCATTTGCATTACAAGAGATGTAATGTTCTTCAGCGTTTGGGAATGACTCGGAAGTTGAGGTTTGAAGCGCCGATCTGTATGCAAACGCCGTCGGAATGGCATCGGGTGGAAGGGACGGGCCACCGCATTGGCAGGGGCAGATGGGGCGCAATGAAAGCTGATAGATGCCGAACGCAGATAACGGAGAATGGTCTGACGCGTGCGGTGCAAACATCGAGTATTATACGACGTGACTTGGGTGGATGGCCGGATGGGGAAGAAGGAATCGGGTCCTAGGAAGTTCGCAAGTTGATCCGTCGAAAGATCGGAGGCCGGACGGAGGACGCCATAAGCACAGGGGTACTTTCGGTGGAGCTCAGGTACTCCGGAGAAGTCGTATGATCTTAGGATGTTGAACGTTGAGAGTGAGGTGAGACCGGCTACAAGGCACAAGGATGTCATATTGAGGGAGATCTGGCAACATATGAGGAGGAAGATTTGAGCGAGTTCTCTTCCCTAGCATTAAATCTTGAAGACGTTTGACGATGACACGAGGTTGAAGGCAAATTCGACGATCCGAGATCAAATATCTCGTCGTAAAGATGAATTAAAGTACGCAGGGTATGGACTGGCCGACTGGTACATATCGATGAACCTGGAAAGCCTCGTCAGATACAAACGTTTCACTGCCGGCCGCCGCTATCCAGTGGCCCAAGGCCGCCGTAAACTTCCTCAGTAGCTCCACAACACCTTCCTCCGCTGGGAGATCCCGAATATCCTGTTAGCCTGCCGATGTGTAAGACCGCGAAATGAAGGATCGATTGAGAAGGCACCGCACCATGTCGCGAGGATACGTATCGCCATCCAAGGTACGTAGATCTAACATCCGTAAGATATCGGACCTATCCTCCGCCTATGAACTCTCTCCTCCAGGTGCGACTCAAGGCGGTACCACCGAGAGACGCGCGTCCTCGTGTGTAAACTTGTCGGGTAGACATGGAGTGGGAGTTCCGTATAGATATGACCGGCGTAGAGTCGAGAGCACGCGTGTCTGTGTTATCGTAGTCACATCAAGGGATGGAGGCCGGTGCGAAAAAGAGAATGTGTTCGAGCAGATGAGAGTAAGAGACAAAGGGCAAGGTGGCGCGCACCGTTGGATGACGCGCGCACGACGCGTGTATGAATGTTTGCGCATGTAGACGCGTCTGATGGGATGTTTTGATTGCCGGGTAGCCGGCGAGCAGCGCGGTTCGAGCGCGTCAGTTCCTTCTTCACCACTGATCAACAAAAGAGCAAAAAAGCTGTAAGCCCTTGACAGGACCATACAAGGCATTGTAAGCTAGCCAACCGCGATCGCGTGGGAATGCCATAAACAAGGCCTTGCACGACGACGTTTTCCTCACCTTTGTACGAAAGTTGCCATAATAGTTGCGAGAGTTCGGCAGGCTGCTACATGCTCATAAGCCTTGACCTGATTTTGTAAGGATCGCAAGGTATTCCATGACGCTTGTGGGTCCCCCAGGCTGGTACAGGCTCATATACAGTGCCTCTGAACCACCGCGCTGCGAGCGGTTCGAACCGTCGCGTCAGGCACTTCAGTTCGGTCGGTTTCTCGCGTCATTGACAATTTCTCTGGCATAGTATATAATTTATTACCCATTAAATTGGATTTCTATAGTTGTACTGTACGTAGCATTGTACGAGAGGGCCGTAAGTGCGACCACGCGTCCCTACCGCACAGCATGATTCATCTCCCAGCTGACGTTGGCAGTTCGTAGTCGGAGAGCTCGAGATCGCGAACCGACTGCAGGAGCAGGGCACCGCGCGAGACTGAAGGCAGCTGAAGCTTGAAGGCATGTCAGCTCGGCCGCGTGCTTGAATGATCAGATCAGTTGTGCTCACCGCGTTCGCTTCGCCGCCATGGACTTCTCCGTTCACCCTCGATGACAGCGCCTGCGACATACCTATCTTGACTTCAGCTTGACCTTCGAACGAACGGATAATCTAGTACTCATCTCGGCAATTCCATAGAATCGAAGTCGACTAAGCCGCCTGCCGTCGCGTGCGAGGGCTGCACGGAGTTAGACAGACGTGGGGTGTATAGTCGTGCTTACCGGTAAATTTGGTGCGTCGACTGGCGCCTTGCTCGAATTCTTATACTGAGTGTAATGCATAGATGATCACCTGAGGCACATGGTGCCAACTAAGCACGTACGTACAGCATCGGTGGGTGCGGCTGGGCGTGGGCGCAGGCACGACCGGTTGCCGTGCTCGCAGCAAGGCGCGCTCTGCCTGTTGGCTCGATTCAATAATGTCGTGCCCTCAACTCCACGGAGTCCCTCTATGCCCATCTTAGTACGACCTATCCTTACTCTACATTCGGCAGCGAGTACTCTGGTTTACTAAATCCGTATCGCAATGTTACACATATGAGTATCTTCGATTGCACCCATCGATACCACATGGTCTACATGCTACATACATGAGTCCGGTTCAGACTGAGAGCGAGCGTCAGAGATCGTACCGAGCCGAAACTCATGAACGGCAGGCGGGCATTTGCATAGCAGTGCCAATCAGCCTTAGTCCGGACTTCGAAAGACCATACGTACCTTGCGCCGCCTATGACAAGTGCACCGCCATCCTGACAATCGCTCACCGCCCTTGCAAACCCCTTGCAAAGGTGGTAACAGGCTGCGAATCCCCTCATCAGAGCGGCGGGTTGCTTACAATTTTCGTAAGTCGCGTGTAAACATGGAAAATGTCCTTATATTGACGATAAGCTTTTAGCGGCCAAAAACGGTTTTGTTGATGCACCACCATGTGAACATCATGAACTATTCTCGCAAGCGAAGAGCCTATCTACGAGACACTTACCATATGATGCGTGCAACGATACACAACGATACATGAACGGGCAGAGGCAAGCCTAGTTTGCGTCGCAGGTATCCACACCTTGTCCACACCCGTCCACACGCCGACCACGGCGAGCATACTTTTGGGAGGATGCCTTCCTTCTGTGTCGCTTACCCCGCACGTCATCAGACGCTGTGGCTCTATAACAGGCAGACGACGCCATGAAGCGTATAATCGTCTGCTCATCCTCCCTCACCTACCACCCTAGGTTCTGCCTGAAGCCTTTCCTGCAACTTAAAGTGATGTCTAAGCTACCAACGCGCAAGATAGGCAACACGGACGTGACCGCTATTGGGTATGGCGCAATGGGCATATCCGCTTTCTATGGCCAAGTCCAAGCAGACGAAGAGCGCTTCAAAGTGGGTCTTGTCGCGTGGCACTCCACCATCTGAGGCTGATTCACGTCTGTAGATGCTCGACGCGGTATACGAATCCGGATGCACCAACTGGGACACGGCCGACATATACGGGGACTCCGAGGAGCTCATCGGTAACTGGTACGGACTCGTCGAGCATGACGATCCCCCCACATCTCTAATTGGACGTAGGTTCAAGCGCACCGGCAAACGTAACGAGATGTTCATAGCGACGAAGTTTGGCAACACGCCGGGCAGGGACAAGTTTGTCACGGGCGATCCGGAGTACGTCAAAGAGGCTTGTGCGAAGAGCTTGAGACTACTAGGCGTTGATCAGATCGATCTCTACTACATGCACCGGTACGTACCACGCCAGCTACACCCGTCCACCGCCACATAACTGATTTCTTCTCGCACAGCGCGGATCAGACAATCCCTATCGAGAAAACAGTCGGCGCGATGGCCGAACTAGTAAAGGAAGGCAAAGTCAAATACATCGGTCTATCCGAAGTCTCCGAAAAGACCCTTCGACGCGCACACGCCGTGCACCCCATCGCGGCGCTGCAGATCGAATACTCCCCCTTTGTCCTCGACATCGAGCGTCCGGACGTCGGACTGTTGTCTGCGTGTCGCGAGCTCGGCGTTGCGGTTGTTGCGTACTCGCCCCTCGGGCGCGGGCTGCTTACGGGGAGGTACAAGAGTCCTGACGATTTCGAGGAGGATGACTTCAGGAGGACAGTGCCCAAGTTCAGCAAGGAGAACTTCCCGAACATTCTCAAGGTCGTCGACGAGATCAAGGCTGTGGGCGACGCGCACGGCGCACCACCAAGCACGACGACGCTGGCTTGGTTGCTCGCGCAGGGCGAGAACATTATCCCTATCCCCGGCACACGTAGCGTGAAGGTAATGCGTTGTATGTTGTGATTTGCGACGATAAGGCACTCATTCGATGCCCAGTACTTGAAGGAGAATATGGCGGCATGCAGGCTGCAGCTCAAGCCGGAAGAGGTCGAAGAGGTCCGCAAGATAGCGCAGCGCGCGGAGAAGGAGGTTAAGGGCGATAGATACGCACAACAGATGATGGGCACTACGCTCGCTGACACTCCCGAGCTCTGAGATGCTAATAGCCTACGGACTCCGGCGATAGAGCGATTGACAACATTTCAATGTATACATGTACAGTAAACAGCCCCGGACGTCGATTTCTTATGCCTGTACTCTTCTCACAAAGTGCCCTATGCGCTGCATGACTCCCTCAGTGTCCTCATAGAAGACCGCATGCCCAATGCCTTCGAGGATCACCACCTCCGCATCCTTCCAAAGCGGCTTGATTTCCGCCACAAGCTTTTCCGCATCGAGATGCCCATCCAACCTGCCCTGAAGCACCAAAAGCGGCAATGTGCCCTCGCGCGCCATCTTATACATTGGCTCCGGGTCCTGCGTGCGACTGAACCCCAGCGTCATATCGGCGGGCGTACAAGCGAGGGAGGCGCCCAGCCACAGACACTTCAGCTCGTGTGAAATTTGGTCGGGGTGGGAGAATAGCGAGTCGAGGAATCTGATCTTGGTTTTGGCGAAGAGGCCGACGTCGGCGTTTTGGAGCGAGCCCGAGGCGATCTCGAGGATCGTGGGGCTCATGATTCGACGGCCGGCATCGCCTGCCAGGTAGGGCAGCGAGGAGATGCATATGGCGCCGGAGAGGGTCGTCGGGGGGAGGTGCGCGGCTATGTCGGTTATTACGATCGCTGGTGGAGGTTGTTTTGTTAGTTTTGAAGTGAGCCTTGTGAGGGAATGGGATGTGCGTACATCCCATGCTCCAACCCACGAGAACAGGTCGCTTGAGGTCGAAGGCCTCCATGACGGCCGCAAAGTCCTGCGCGAACCTCTCCGAAGCGTAACCCTCGGGTGTTTCCGGTTTACCCGAACGACCATGTCCGCGCAAGTCATAGCGAACGAGATAGAACTTGTCTGTGTAACGAGGTTCGTGGAAGATGCAGTCCCAGACTACGGTGGAGAGCGAGAAGCCATGCAAGAAGACGATGGACGGGTTCGAGGGGTCGCCGATCGCTTCGGCGTATACGGCCGTTCCGTCCGCGGAGGTGAGACGCTTGGCAAAGGGCACAGTCACAGCGGGTGTGAGGATTGCAGGGTGCATGGTGTATACTGGCGAATCCAACGGGCAGACTGGCTATATGTAGCCTGGGAGACCAATCCAAGGCCACGGGAGGCCGTCTGATTTGTATGGTGAACTTCGTACACGGACAGTTAAGCGTCCTCGAGCCTCAGAGCCAGATAGTGTATGCTAGAGTAAGGCATTGTATTAGGTGGTCATTCACGAAAGGCGAGCGCGGCGACTTCGCCGCGCGGAGGCAAGGTCGCTGTAACGAGGTGACAAACAACGTTGATCTGCGACAACAAGGGCGATACGGTGATTCTGGCCGAGTCCATTTCACATCAAAATGGCTCCGTAGCACTGGTGAGCGTCATGTCATTGCTGTTGTCTATTCGCTGTGGTGGTGGTCGGGAGCAAGGTTGGTCGGTCGAGCCATTTCGGCGCGCGTCGACTTCTGATCCGTTTCCCGATCCGCTTGCCACGCTATAGTTGTCTAGTCGGGTACTGACCGCAACTCTGACGCGACGGCCACCACCACCACCACCACCGCTTTGGCATCAGCCACTTATTTCTGCTACTGCTTAGCTGCGGCGGAGGGGAAGTGAAGGATACCACGTTGTTGGATATGAGGACAGCGGTATGGCGTTCACCGCGGAGTCTGGTCATGTACGCGGTCATCATGTGTGTACAGTCTATCGCTTCGCTGCCCATCTCAGACTGAGAGATGCTAACATAAGGGCCCATAGGTACTAACTATCCGTGTATGATATGGGGGCATTCAACTATTGATGACCACTTCGCCGCCAGCAAAGGCTCGTTTGCTAGGGAGATTGCCAAGATTCGCCATCGGATTTGGTGTGCATCATGGCGCACGGGTGGCACTCAAATGACTGGGACGAACGCGATTCATTGTGTCGGCTCAATATGCCCCCACTCCATGTTTGGGCAGTGATTTCCATCCGGCCGTGCGAGTCGATTCTCATGTGTAAAGATGGGGGCAATGACTTGGATTGTTGATATCTTTCCATACTTATGTCTGCGCCCATCCCTATGACAAGACCTCTCGACCGCGAGGTGTCCTTCTCATGCTGTCATCTCAGTATCACGTTGGGCTACCTGGCCGCCTTTCTGGCAGACACCATTGACATGCAGTGTCTGATGGTCAGCTCCACTATCTTGTAACAACGGTCATTTAGTGTGTATGATCATCTTGCACGTCTCGTACGCCTATAAGCATGATGTGATTGCATGGGAGCCTTCCTGGGTAAGTCACTGAGAACGGTATAAGAAGAGCCAACCATACTTCATGTCCCTTCACAGACCTATCGCAGTTCGCAGGATGGCCGCAGCCGACCCAACGTACCCTCTCTACCCTGTCGTCTGTTTTATCAGTACCACGATGCTCTGCCTGGTGCTGCTGACAAGCTTCGCACGACGGAACATGAATCTCGGTGTCTGTTTCCTGTGCTTTTGGCTTCTCATCGAGAATCTCTTCCTCGGCAGCAAAGCCATCATATGGGCCGACAACGCCGACATCAAGCTGTACGTATTCTGCGACATAGGTAAGACGGCGACCATTGTTCGATCCGCCCAGTCGACTCTGACCGGCCTCGGTTCTGAACAAGGTACTCGGATCCAGGTTCTCACGTCCGTTGTCAAACCGATGGCCACCTTGATTCTCACTCGCCGCCTGTACTTGATCACCAGTCTGCGATCAGTAGACGCTTTGTCGAGCTCCAAAGCGGTACGGATGTGTCTGGCATGATGATCTGTCGATCGATCTGATCACCCTCTTCACTGACTTTCAGAAGCGCAAAGATCGCCTGATAGAATGGACATTGGGACTGGTTATACCCATCATTGTTGCAGGTCCTTTTTGTAAGTACACTTTTCCAGCGCGTGGGATGAGCGAGGACTGATTTGTGCCTAGACTATATCGTACAAGGAGCTCGCTTCGAGGTCAACGAAGGTTTTGGGTGCCTCAATGCTCAGGACAACTCGGGATTAGAGATGTTGCTGGTTCAGTCGTGGAATGTTGTTCCACCACTACTATCGATCACCATGTACTACCGTGAGCTTCCGCTTCACATGCTTACTACCACTTCGCCGGTCATTGATCATATTCGCTTCAGCTCGGGTGGCTTGGATCTTCTACCGCCAGAATCGGGACATCAATCAGTTCCTACGAAGCAACGAATCGGTATCGCGCAATCACTACGTCCGCATCCTGATACTTGCAAGCATAGATATCCTGTTCACACTGCCCATCGGCATCGTCGACATCGTCCTCACCCTCAAGGCACTGCTGGAAGTCTCCCCAGTGTTCTACCCGGGATGGAGTGCCGACCACAACAACTGGGACCCAATATCAATCTCGTACGCTGATTTCAAGACGTTCGGCACGGCATCGATAGCGCAGTTCTTTGTTTCGCAGTGGTCGTCGCCGCTCCTGGGGCTCATCGTTTTCGGGCTGTTTGGTGCGACTCGGGAGGCCCGCGCGTCGTATTGGTCTGTTGTATGCACGGTCGGTGGATGGTTCGGCTGGCGGCCGACGTCGAGCAACAAATGTAGTAAACGTTCAACGCTCGGAGACATTGAGTTTGGCGAGGGGCCTCAGCAGGTGTCGCTTGATCTTGAGATTGGGTGCGTGTTCTCCCCGTCGCGACGTTGAGCTTGCTCTCTGAGGCGATTGCAGATCTCAACATAGCCATATCGGTACTTCGACACAGCTCCAGGAAAAGAAAGACTAAGGAGTAAACGTACGATATCCTCATGGCTGCTGTGCGATAGTTGTACCGTGTTGTTGTTGTTACAGAAGGCATGAGGTAGCAGATCTTGAGTAGATCCAAGTCGTGTTCGCGGTGTGCTACAAGAAAAAATGTTTACGAGTTACCGATGAAGACCATAGAAGCGGTCAAACTCATCTCATATTTCTCAGCACCTGTGATTAGTGGTTGTAATAGCGTCACCATTGTATTGTCGCCGTGGCGGTCGAGAGCAAGATGGGTCGGCCGAAGCTCGCCGCGCGTCGCGTCTGATCCATCTCCAGCGTGCCCAAGCCGAGCAAGGGCGATGAGACCCTTTCAACCCTATGAGGTGCACTAGCCACTGAGAGCTATGAGTTCCTCATCCCAACTATTATGATACGCGACAGGCTCAGCCACAATACGGCAAGCGCCGAAACCACCGAACTCGATCATCTGACCAGTCGCGTCCCCTTCCCTTCCCACGCGACGCGGTTCAAGTTGAACTTCGACGCGTAACGTCACCTCGACCCAACCTCGACGGCCACCACCACCAACCATGCCCGTAGCGTCCTCCAGCAAACCCACGACAACGGCCCGCACGCGTATGGCGCCCGCTACGCGCAGGCAAGCCACTGCTGCGACGAAAGTCACGCTGGATAAAGCGGCCGACCAGCTCGCGGATGCTCTGGCCACTTCGCTCGCTATCAAGCCGCAATCTAGGACGACGCGCACCACCACCACGGCAACGCCTACAACAACGACGACGACAACCAGGAAGACGGCACGTGCACCCCTACTTCCAACGACGTTCAAGCAGAGCGCACCACCGCCGCCTAGCGCCGAACCAAAGCGCAGTGCGGCAGACGCGATGCGCGCGGCGAATGCCGCTTCGCAGGCGCTTAGTGCGCTTGTGCAAGGGGGAGATAAGAAGGGGAAGGGGAAGGGCGAGGACGGGGCGGTGCTGGGTGCGAGGGCGAGGAAGGCGTTGGGCGAGTTGAGGGGGATGAGGCCGGGGAGTTTGGATACGGAACGGGCGGCGGGGAGTGTGGTTGGGAAGTTGATTGCGCTTGAGCTTGTAGGTTTCGGTTGAGAATGGATATTGAGGAGGTGCTGATATGTCGGATAGATGACTACCGCACTGGATATTATGAAAGACATGCATTCGCCACTGGTCAATCTGATCACTGAATCCGCTGAACCCGCATCAACTCCAACAGCGCTCAACCTACTCTCATTGCCGCTTCCAACAAAACCCGTGGACGAAGTCCTGGCTTCTTTATGCGCGTCATTCCTATTGCACGCTCTCATCGTCAACGCCAACCTCCCCCACGACCTCATGAAGCTCACACACGCCCTCGCCTCCCCGAACACAACATCCCTAACGACCTGGATCTGCGCCTGCCCCTCCATACCAACGAAATACGCCGACGGCCTCTTGACGCGCGCCTATACTGCTCTAGCGAAACGCACCTCCGACCAATCACTCGACCCCTGCCCCGCCCTTCATCTCAGACAACACGCCCTCCAATGTCTCCTCCTCACCACGCCCGGCACCGTCGAGCCCGCTACATTCTGGGACCAAGCCGTGAAGTTCGGCGTGGGCTTCGCGAGGGCCACGCCTGCGTTATGGCTCGCGGGCGGAGGGAGCACGTTCGAGAAAGAGAAGGAGGCGACGAGGCGCGTTATGGATGTATACCACGTCCTGTACGAGGGCGCACAGAAGCGGGAGGACGCGCGGGCGTTCTGCGCCGGGAAGGCGTTCTTGAACTTTTGTGACTATTGGTTGGGCTACGCGAAGAAGGTTCGTGTGATACGCCTACTCTATTTGGGCATACAGACTGATGATGCTCTCCCTCAGAGTGGCGATATGACAGCGTTGGACAATGTTGCGGACATCATGCGTGCAGTCCGTATATCGACTTCACAGTCCAGCACAGATCCAATGCTGGATACCGACGAGCGGCCGGCATCGCCAACGAAAGTCGCCGCACCAGCATCACCTACCAAATCGCGCTCCGTATCACCCAGCAAACGCTCTCGCACATCGCCCACCCTTCAACTCGCACAACTATGCGCGCCACTCGTACAAGCCACGGCGCTATTCGAAGAGCTCGATTCATTTGACGGTGAGCAATCCTTGCTTCTGCTCGTGGGAAGGAAAGTACTGATACGGCCATACAGGTTCAGACGCCGAACTGCAAACGCGCGCCACCGATGCGCTCGAGGCCGTCCGCACCCTCCGCTCCATCGACCCCGGCTCCGGCTCGGGCGATGACTTTGACAAGATGCAGTCCAAAGCTCGCCGCGCGCTCGAGCGCTTACGTCGGGCGCTCGTCCGTTGCCTCTCCACATCGCTCGCTCCTGCACGGGCGAAGCTCGTCCGTGCCGTACTCGACGAAGTCGTCGGCGCGCTACAAGACGCATTGACGGACGAATCTGTCGCAGAGGACTACACGCCCCTCCTCGACGCGCTCTTCACCCTCGCGCGCACCTCCAGCGGCCCGACACCCGACAGCGCATACACATACCTCTCCCGCGCCGCCACGGTCCTGCACCTCTCAGAGCCCTCACCCACCGCCCCGCACGTCTACGATGCACCCGTCAACCTACCCCCCGGCTTAGAAAAGGACGCCCCCGCGCACGCGAACCTCGTGCGCTGTCTCGCGGGCGCGCACCACAACATCGCGGGCGCGCTGTACGCGAGCAGTCCGCCCCGACCCGGGCATGCGGCGCGGTTTATGAGGGGGGCGTGCGTGTTGGGTGGGGTGGCGTTGAGGTTGTATCGGGAGAGCGATGGGGCAAGAGGCGGGGAGGAGGGCGGAGAGGGAGAGGGGGAGGTGTGGAGGCAGCTGGAGGAGCAGATGAGTAGGCGGTGGGAGCTGCTTGGTGTATGCTACGCCAAGATTGCCGATCGCAAGGCGCGTATCATTCACCCGTATCTCAACGTGCATGCGACTGACTTTATGAATAGATGGCGCACGACGCCTTCGCGCGCGCCATCACATCGCACGTCTTCACGCCCGCCCACCTCTCCCAAATCCGCACGCTCGGCCCCTCGGCCTTCTTCGCGCAGCCCGCCCTCTCGCCCCTCGCGACGCTCATAGACAGGACGACGTACATGTCCGCCATCGAACTCTGCGCACCCTCCGCCGTATCCCTCTCGCGTCTGCAGAACGAGCTCCGGGTCAACGGCGCGGACCGAGCTTGCGTCCTCGGCGCCCTGCTCGAACGTCAGCTCGAGAGCCTGCGGAGCAGCATGTGGAAAGACGCCGCGCGCAGAGCCGCGGGCACGCTTTTCGCGGAACTGCTGGATCTGTATGAACCAGCACGCAAACCCATCCGGCGCGCGGGCGTTCTGTGCAGACTGCGCGAAGCGGCGTACTACGCCCCCTCCTCCTCCTCCTCCTCCTCCTCTGACAATCCTCTCGCGCGACTCGCAGCCGAAGACCCGCTCCCGCTCCTGCGCGCCCCGCCCTCGCTCGACCGCGAACTGCTACACCTCCGCCCATTATACGCCGCCACGTCGCACCTCTGGGCCGCGCTCCTCGCCCATCGGGACGGAAAGGACGACGCGGGCGAAGAGGCGGCGCAGCACATCTCCGAGGCGTGTCGCGTGTTGCGCGATCAGGGTTTCTCTGTGTCCACAAATGAGGAGAGCGTGAAGAGCCCGCCCAAGGTCGCGGTGCGGGGCAAGAGGGCCGTCAGGACGGGTGCGCCTGCGGCGAAGGTGCCGAAGACGCCGCGGAAACCGTCCAGTAGGAAGGCCGCCCCGTCAAGTCCTAAGGGGAAGGAGAAGGAGGCGGGAAAGGCGGGGGAGAGCGGGAAGGAGAGGGAGAGCCCGCATGGGTGGAGGGAGCTGTTTGGGCTTATGAGGCTCTGTGTGGAGTTGATGGGGTTTATGGCGCATGTGGTGCTGAAGGTGCAGTTGTTGCATGCGGCGCGGGTGTTGGCGGAGAGGTGTGGTGGGGACGACGGTGCGTTCGCCTTTTCGCTTCATCAGTGATCAGACGCTGAGGGTGGTGGGCAGAGTACATACTCGCATCGACCGAGCTGGCCACCGAGTATCTCGGCCTTGGGAGGTTGCAGCGCGCCGGACGCGTGTTCAATGCCGCGCTGGACAAGTTCAGAGCGGGCAAAGGCAGCGAGAGCACGCGGGTGTTCTTTCTGCTGCGCCATTCGCAGACGCTTGCGGTTCTTGGGGATCTGGGGCAGAGGTCTGTACGCCTCATCATTCTCTCGAGGGTTTGATGCTGAAACTGCAATGCTGTAGCGAGACGTCGTACATCGACGCGGACAGGTTGGCGAAGGATATACTCGAAGACGAGAAGGACCCGAGCGCGACTGCACGGATGAGGGTCAGGGTGCAGCGCATTGAGCGCACTGCGCTGGCCGCTGGTGCTATCGCTGAGATACGTCTCGCCAAGGTGTGTTGTCTACGACATCTACTTCCACCACGGAGGAGCTCACGCTAGGATTACAGGACGATCCCACGGCGGCACTCGATGCGCATCTGCAGGCTCTACGGCTGTACAACCGCGCTCTAGCAACGCTTTCGCGCTTCAACGCGCCCACACCCGCCGCCACCGAAGATGATCCTTTCGCGTCACCAGCCAAACCCGGACCCGGACCCGGCGAAGAGCCCAAGCCGCCCACCAATGCCCCTCCCACCCCGCTCCTCCCCACCCCCTCCTTCCGCGGCCTCGAATGGCGCATCGCCCGCGGCCTCCTGCACACCCTCCTCACCCTCTCCTCCCTCTACACAACCCGCGGCTCCGCGCGCGAAGCGCAGTACTTCGCCTCGCAAGCCGAGACGCTCGCGCTCTCCCTCCGCGCGCCGTCCTACACCGGCGCGGCCCTCGCACGGCGCGGCGAGCTCGCGCTGCTCACGGGTCGCGCGGACGAGGCGGGCGATGTACTCGTGAGAGCCGCCGGGGCGCTCGGGAGCTTGCAGGGGCCGGAGCTGGCGGATGTGCAGAGGGTTTATGCGGATTTGTATGCAAGGGGGAGCGAGGAGGGCGAGGCGAGGAGGTTGTATAGGGATGCGGCGGGGATGTTGGAGGATTTGGGCGCGTTGTTGTTGGGGGTGGAGAGTGGGAGGAGGGTCAGTATTGTGGGGGGCGATATGATTCGGCCGGGGTTGTTTTCTGCGCTTTTGCGGAGACACAGTGCGTTTGTTCCACTACTTTGATGTTGCAATTCAGCTGATGCGGGGATGTTTAGTATGGCTGCTGAGGCACGAGCTTGGGGAGGAGTACCAGGAGCTGTTGCAGAAGCTTTCTGCGCTGCCTGCGTCTGAGGATATGAAGGCCGAGGAGCGCGCGCTGATTGGGAAGTTGACGCTACACGATGCGTTTGAGCATTTCCGGGAGGATATCTTCTTGAGTAGTATAACCGAGTCTGGTGCGCCTTCCCCTCGCCACTCCTCCCTCATGCACACATTGATGTGCTCTTGTAGTCATCGCATTGCCCATGAGCGTCTCAAGCGACAAGCTAGCGACGAACTCTCAAGAGACTGCACGTCTACTGAGCGTCGCTGATGGGTTGTTCATGCAGAACCTATCGGCGATGGTACGGAGGGGACAGGTGGCGAGTGTACGCGAAGCTGCGATCTACCTCGCCTATGTCCGCGCTTTGCAAACTTCGGTCGGTCGCGAGACTGAGGATGTGCCGCTTATCATCGCGAATTTACTCGGTGCGTCGTCTTTACTTGCGATGAGAACGGATGCTGATGGTTGAACAGACGCGAGCGCCGCTCTTACTCTGCATCGCGAGATGCTCGAGATCATCCAAAACAAGTTCCAGCAAACCCTCGCCGACGACCTCCGCTGGCCGACCCTCTCCGGCGACCCGCCCCTCATCGTCCCTCCAAAACGCGCCTCCTCTCCCTCCCCCTTCTCGCTCGAATCCGACCCCGAAGACGAGCCCACCACGGAATCTTCGACCGCAGCGTATTGGAAAGCCGTGCGTCAGAAGTACGCCAGCGCATCCCTTACACCTGCCGAGCTCTCCCGCGCGCGCGTCGACGCGTTACCGCCGCACTGGACCGTCGTGCACATAGCCGTCACCGAAGACCGCAACACGCTCTTCCTATCCCGACAACGCGCGGGCCAAGCTCCGCTCGTGCTGTGTCTTCCGCTCCGCAGCGACGAGGAAGAGCATCTGGCGTTTGGCGATGCATTGCACGAGTTGTCGGAGATTGTGCGGTTGAATGATGAGACGACGCGGGCGGCGGCGACGGTGAGGGGCCAGGATCGGGAGGCGAGGGCCGAGTGGTGGGCGCAGAGGGCGGCGCTGGATACGAGGCTTAAGGAGCTGTTGGAGAATGTGGAGTTTTGCTGGTTGGGCGCTTTCAAGGTGCGTTACTACGCACACAGCGACTCGCTCGGTCTTCTGATAAGCATTACTAGACCGTCCTGGGCGAACCCGTGGACATGCCTGCAGAAGTCCTCGCCGACTTCCGCGCCCGCCTGGACAAAGTGTTCAAGCGCGCGCTCGCCACACAAAAGAAGAAACAGACGCGCGTCCAGCTCGACGACTCCCTCCTCGCCTGCATCGCCACGCTCCCCGCCAAAAGCCGCGACGAGGAGCTCGAGGACCTCGTGTACTACATCCTCGACCTCTACCAGTTCCACGGCGTCCAAGTGGCCATCGCGGAAGTGGACGTCGACCAGGTCGTCGTGGACCTGCGCGCCGCGCTCGAAGAGCACGCACACAAGATGCGCGGGCGCACGAAGGCCGTGCCCGATGCGCATACGTTCCTCGTGCTGGACAAGAACGTGCAGGGTATACCCTGGGAGTCGATCCCCACGCTCCGGGGACACAGCGTCAGCCGGATCCCGAGCGTCGACTTCCTGCTCGACCGCCTCGACCTCGTCCGCTGGCGCCGCGGCGACGGCCCCAACACCACCACCCCCGTCGACCGCGCCGACATCGACGTCTGCAACGCATTCTACGTGCTCAACCCCTCCGGCGACCTCACCGGCACCGAGAAGCGCTTCGCGGACTGGCTGCGCACGATGGAGCGCGCGGGGTGGGAGGGTATTGTCGGGAAAAAGCCGAGCGAGCAGCAGGTCGTTGACGCGCTGGGGCGGAAGGATCTGTTTGTGTATTTTGGGCATGGCGGGGCGGAGCAGTTTGTAAGGTCGCATAAGGTGAGGCATTTGGAGCGGTGCGCGGCGGCGATGCTGTGGGGGTGCTCGTCGGGGCTTATGCGCGATATGGGCGATTTCGATCGGACGGGGACGCCGTATAATTATATGCTTGGTGGATGGTGAGTCCTTCGGTCTTATACACGCTCGTCATGTTACTGATACGGTTCTTCACAGTCCGACGCTGGTGGCGAACCTATGGGACGTGACCGATCGCGACATCGACAAGTTCACCCAATCCGTCTTCGACGAGCTTCACTGGACGCCCGAAAGCTTGAAGAAGACGGCAAAGTCGAAGCAGACGTCTGTCGTTGCGGCTGTGGCTCGTTCGAGGGAGGTTTGCAAGTTGAAGTATCTGACTGGGGCGTCGCCTGTGGTTTATGGTATACCCTTCTACTCGTAGAGTAGCTCATGTTCGATACCCGTTACAATGCATGCTTTTATGTATCGACCCCGCATACCTCTATGTACCTGTCTGGGAGTTGGGAGAGTAAACGCGGCCTATATTGAGAGTACCATAGTGCGAGGTTGCATGAGAATCTGGGCCGGGCGGCTCCCACGAGGTGGATCGCGCGATGTCCTCTCACTTGCCTTTTGCGCTCATCATGACCTCCATGAACATGCGCACTGTGTTCTAGCATTGTGGTTCTAGCATTGTGGCCGCCATTTAGTGTAAGATGCACTACTGCGACACAAGGTTGAAATCTATCGCTCCTCTTCGTTATGCATTCGTTTGAAGCCTCCGGCCAATTTAAGTTGACCATGCTAGTCTGGTATCTGGAAGCTTATCCCCCAAGACGAAGTCACCGCGCCCACCCTTGGATATAGTTGACCTGTATGCTGGCTCGTACACGAGGCTGAATGGCGTTCAACGCCTATTCACGAAGTTCACGGTACAAATCGGGGCTTCTCATGACCCTGATTTGGTCACCTGGGTTCATCTAGAATACATAAAGCGAGACACTCATTCGATTCGCTATACAACATGCACCCAGAGACTCTCACTCCTGTTACTACTGCTCCAGTCTCTAAGCGCCTCACCTCCGCAGATGGAACGGCTGTATACGCCGAAGCGATCGGCAACCCTGCAAACCCGCACCTCGTCTTTATGCATGGGTTTTCGCTCTCTACCGTGATCTGGGACTGCATCTTCCATGAGTCTCGCTACATGGATCAGTTCTACCTTGTTCGCTATGACATGCGCGGACATGGACGTTCGGGCAAACCCAAGACTGCCGAAGAGTACGCTTCGGAGAGGTTCGCACAAGACTTCGTTGCCGTTGTGGAGGCTTTCAACCTTGAACGGCCGGTTCTTGTGGGTTGGAGCATGGGTGGTAGGTACATCGCCCTCTTCTCCGTCGCACATCGCATCTCACAGGGAACCCTCTAGCTACAATCATCACCGACATCGCCGCTCATCTACCACCGAAGACGCTCTCCGCGGCGGTGTGCATCGCTTCACTCCCTTATCTAGGTGACGCCGCACACCACATCATGACCAACTACATCCAAAACCTTGCGATCAGCTGCTTGCGCAACGACGATGTCGGTCTTTTCGCAGCAACGAAGGCAGTCTTCGTCGACGGACTCTTCAGCCATCCCAAACAAATCTCGCACGAGTTGAAATGCCTCTGGCTGGGCGCATCGCTCGCCGCGACACCCGCCGACATGGCTCTCTGCCTCAGTCGTACTCAAGACCCTGAGCCTCTGTACATGATGGCGCGCGAGGGTACTCTTCCGCTTCTGGTGCTTCAGGGCAGCGAAGATAAGCACATCAACGCCGAGAAGCTGATAACAGAAGCTAGTTCGCTTTGGAGGGATGCTGAGGTGATAGTCTTCGAATATCAGGGACATGCGCTGTTTTATGAGGACACCGAGGGCGTCATGAAGAGCATAGCGAACTTTGCGAAGAGAGTACAGACGTAGCAGAACGGCATCCGGGGTGGGTTGAAATACATGTATCAAGTATAAATCGATGACGTGATATTCAGAAACTCTGCCCCGATATGTCCATAGCAGTGCCCGGCCGCCCGAGCTCAGTGCTGTCTGACGCCGGCGTGAACCATTGCCAATCATCCATTCTGAAGGGGCCAAAGTTAGCATCATGTAGGGGAAGACAGTGCAGAACTACTCACCCAAGATCAAACGACATTCCCATCCAATCGTCCGAGCCGAAAGCGCCCATCCCTCCGGCGCCAGCCTGAGATGATTCAGTTGAGTGGGCCATGTCACCACAAGGCTCGACGGGCATCTGTGTGTGCGCATCCGGGTTTCCGAACCCGAAGAGCGCACCAAAGTTGATGTTGCCGAAGAAAGCGCCCGCGCCCGTGGGCATCCCTGCAACCGGCAACAGATCATTCGCATCAGGAACCACACTGGATGTGTTTGAGGTGAAGATGGAGGGCGAGTTCAGTCCCTCCCGCCAGGCATCGTCCTGGGTGTGTTCTGAAGGGAAAGGTGCAAGCCGTGCGACTATGTCATCTTCATGCCGGCGTTTCTGCTGCCTCAAAGCACCGGGGCTATAATCATCGCCTAATACCTTGAAGGCAGAAAGCGCGTCTCTGAGTCGCCGTTGAGCTTCATCGTGGTCGCGATCTGAGGCAAAAGACATACGCATATCTTCCAGGGCAACGCCAGCGATCTTCTTGTAAGCGCAGTATGGCTATCATGGTATCGATGTCGGCCATGGTCTGTTTGCGATCAAGGTCGGGCCACCCATTCAATCGCGCGATGCCAGTTCCCACGAGCATCACCAGCGCAGCTATTGCAGTCTGTACGTGTTGGTGAGTCCCGAATGATGATGCACGCCAGGGTGATGAGAAGGAGGCTGCTTACATCCCAGCGTACAAGCCCTGCACGATTTGGCGCTCGAGCGAGTAACGCACTCAATAGATGTACCAATGATCGCGCCGCGTTCATGCATATTGTTAGTGCCGGGGAAGATAGAGGAGTGGGTTGAAGTTTGGCGAGGGACTGGCGGTGAACCATAATCCGGAGCTCATGATACAGCAGATATAGATGAGCGGATTGGCAGAAGAACAAGTCATCAGCGCGCTTCGGGTCCCAACGCACTTTGAGAGTTGATTAAGCACGACTGTAACACAAGCGCAGTTGGAGACGTACGATGTTCTGGGACCGATTCGGCCCAGTTATTGAGCAGAGAGTCTATGTGCGCGGTCGTGCGCGTCACCCAGTCTTCGCCCTCGAAGTTGTAATGCGCCCGAGCCTTAGTACTCGCGTACTGAAAGGCCACGTGAGCATCAAGATCGGTTGAGAATGAGAGGATGAACGTACCAGTGTGCGCAGAGCCAAACCATGAATTTGGGAGAGCTTCAGCATCCAGATGAAGTAGCCAGTATACGATGGCCTGCTCTCGTGCTGCCCTGGCAGTTCTCGAGGGTCTTGGTGTCCTATATGCTGATCATCGCGGCACAGTGGGAAATCCAGGTCGAAGCTGATTCGTATCAGTATAGCATCATGCATGCTCTTTACTGTAGATGCGCGTACTCTTCTTCTTGCACGCAACAAGGACGACCCATCGCACTACTCAGGGAACGATCCAAGTGAACCAGCATCCTGGACAGACCTTGAACAAGTCAGTACTTATCGTGGAACGGGGCGTCCTCACCAGAAGTTCCGCTTATAGAGCTCATCTTCAACCGTCGGGGTTGTACTGTAAGCACGCCGCTTGTGGGCACCGATGTCCAAGGCAAGGCGGATGCCTAAGCCGGCATGGATCCAGGCGTGGACGTGAGAGATGCCAGCACCATACATGACTCCGAGCTGCGATGAAATCTTGTGTGAGAACTCTGCTGTTTGATGTGCTGTCAAAACACGCACGCATATCAGTTGCAGTTCATGGAGGTGCGAGTTGGTCTTCATTATGCGCGTGGCATCGTACAATCGGACTTGCGAGAACCATTGGCATCCAAAAGAGCGCCACTTTTTGCCACAATCTTGTAAGACGCGAGCATCCTGCGAGAATCGTTCCGCTAGGGCGCATGCGAGAAGGACAATGCCGCCAAACGTGCGATCCCTGAGATGGAATCCCGACTTTCTGGCTTCTTCGAAGGTCGGGCGCATCAGGAAAACACCTGCCCCGTAACGCCGTGTCACACCCCGCTAATACCCCCTTGACGACCTAATGCTCAAATAATGGCCGTCAGCCGATGGCGGTTCTAGGTACACATAATGCTCACTCACCCAGCCGTATTCCAGTGTTAGAGTAAATATAGTCAGCTCACCGATTAATAAAATGATACTTTTCACACAATTAAATTCATCGACCAAAATATCATTCCATTGAGCGAGTAAGATGTAGTACAGGTAAGCAAGATAGGGGGGAGAGTGAATCGAGTAGAACGTGACAATGATATGCAAGAGAGTAGCAAGAAAGTAGTATGA